TTTTAATGTCAGTAGATATTATTTGTGGCACTATCAAGCGCCATTAAAAAAAGAGTAGTGACACTTGTGAGTGTCATACACCATCCAGACTAAAACCTTTCAGTGACACTTAATGTCATGGTAGGCACTATCAGTGACGCTATCAAGTGCCATCATGATGATAATTCGTGTAGAACAATTTGACCCGCTCTTGCGGAGACTCGAACCGCCAACCTTCAGCACCATAAACCTTATACACACACTCTTCCCCACTACACCTCTATAGCACCACATGATTATATATGCAACATATATTATTTTATATAGTACATACATCCATATTAATATAAAAGTATGTATAAACATAATTATTTTATTGAACATTAATTATGTAAAATAAATTATTTACTTACCAAAATTAAAAAAAGACCACTTTGGCGTCTAAAAATATTTTTTAGTCGCCAATTCTATACTTTTGGCTACTAATATTTTTTAGTTGTTAAAAAACTTAACTTTTGTCGACCAAAATCGGATTTTGGTCGCCGAAGATGCACTTTCAGTTACCAAAATTTTGGGTCACCAAAAAATTTTATTCCCGCCTTAGGATTTTAGTTCTTCCCGCGCTAAAAATGACCACTTTTGGCGACTAAACTTATTTTTTAGTCGCCAATTGTAGACTTTTGGCTATTAAAATTTTTTTTTGGCACCAAAAGCTTTACTTTTGGCTACTAAAATTTTTTTAGTCATAGTAAAACCCATATAATCAGCGACCAAACTATTTTTAGTCGCAATTGTAGACATTTTGGCTACTAAATTTTTTTAGTCGCCAAAAAGCTTTACTTTGGGCTACTAAAAATTTTTTTAGTTCACTAAAACCCATATAATCAGTGATCAAACTTAGTTTTAGTCGCCAATTGTAGACTTTTACTAAAATTGTTTAGTCGCCAAAAAGTTTACTTTTGGCAACTAATGCTGTTTTGGTCGCTGAAAGCTATACTTTCAGCGACCAAATTTTTTTGGTCAGGAGAAATTTAGTCGCCGAATATGTTTTTTCCTGTAGTTTATATTGAGTTTAATTCATTTATTTTTAATCATTTACTGCATTTTAAAATTTAGAAATATATTGACATTTTTGTTTTTTCAAAATGTCATTATAAGCTTGGAAAGTTTTTGGCTTAGTGGCATTTCTCAAAATGCTATAAAATATTTGTTTATGACACTTTTCACCTAAGTGCCATAAAAAGTATTTACACCTACTAGTGTTTTCCTGACATTTTTAAAAAAATGCCATTGCAAATATTCATAAAAAGTTTTTGTAGTGACATTTTTGTTATAGTTTTGTGACACTTGTTCATTGAAATGTCACTAGAGCCTTTTATGTTTGTCGTTTTGTGGCATTTTTTAAAAACGTGCCACTAAATATCATTTTTTGTGGCATTTTCTAAAAATATGCCACTAGTGTAGTGCCACTAAAGTATGTTTTTGTTGTAGTTTTGTGACACTTGTTCATTGAAATGTCACTAGAGCCTTTTATGTTTATCGTTTTGTGGCATTTTTCAAAAACGTGCCACTAAATATCATTTTGTGTCATTTTCTAAAAATATGCCACTAGTGTAGTGCCACTAAAGTGTGTTTTTGTTGTAGTTTTGTGACACTTGTTCATTGAAATGTCACTAGAGCCTTTTATGTTTGCCGTTTTGTGGCATTTTTAAAAAACATGCCACTAAATATCATTTTTTGTGGCATTTTCTAAAAATATGCCACTAATGTAGTGCCACTAAAGTATGTTTTTGTTGTAGTGCGTCAAATACACTAATCCAGTACTTTTGCAGACATGTCAAACTTCTTAAACCAAACATTCTCCGCTCGAGCGTATAAACGGCCGCTCGAGCGGACAAGCAACTTCGAATGCATTTTGCATTTTTGCTTCGGGGGCGCTGCCCCTCGATCCCTCCCCTCGATTCCGCCAGGGCGTTGCCTTTGGACCCGCTAAGGGGCGTTGCCCCTGGACCCCGTCGAGTTGACCGGGCAGCTCGATCCCTGATTGGCCTAGTCAAAGTGGCAAAATATGAAAGAAGGATTAAAACCGGGATCGTTGGACGAGTTATTGCGGGTGCGGGTTAAACCTGCAACCCGCAATTATGCCATTTTCTAAACTGCATCCGCCCACATGGTGTTTGCAAAACCGCCCATTTGTATGTGGATCGGTTCGGGTTGGGCGGTTCGGATAACCCTATGTCTAGCTCTATCAAATACTATTAAAAAGCGTCACTAATTATTAATTTTCAATAACAATTTAAAAATTTTATTACAAAAAATGTCATTAATTATTAATTTTTAGTGATGATTTTATGAAGATTTATTTTCAAAAGGACTTTATGAAAATTAAACCTGACTATTAGGACCTATTAATAATTTACCTTATTTTAAATAAAAATGCTACTATCTATAAAATTATTTTTTTTAGTCCATACCTGAATTGTAATTTCCCCAATATATAAACATCCAAATTCAGGAATATAAGTTGGTGAATGAAAAAAAGGGACAATTACGTAAAGAAGAGGTTGGGGAAAAGTATCATAAATGAGAATTTTTTTAAATTATATCACGCAAGTGTGAAAATAATTACTAAAATATAGTTTTATTGGTCGAATGTATCAATATACCCTTTTTTTGTCTTTAAAAAGGTATTGACCATATTTTTTAAATAATATCAACATTAAATACATTTAATAAAATTTATAAAATAAAAAAATAATGAAAATAGCTGGATGTGTTTTCAATTTTAAATATTTGATAAAAATAAATACAAAAATATATTTTAAAAATTTTCAAAAATTACTTTCATTTCAAAAAAGAAAAATCATATAAAAATGATAAGTATTTTTTCAATTTTATTCACCAAACTTGTTTTTAAATTTTTTGAAGAAAAAAATATAAAACAAATTTAATTATTGAAATAAGATGAATATATGAGGTTGTGCAAGTGTGATTATGTATATGCAGGTGTGTTTTAGGTGAGAGAGAGAGACAGAGAGAGAGAGTGAGTGACGTGAGGGAGAGGAAAAAGATGAGTGCCAACCAAAAAATAAATAAAATAGATTAGTACATAAATTATGTCTTGATAATTATTTTTGTACTTAAAAAATGTTAAGGATCTCAAATATCTTATCAGATATTTTATCAAATATATTACATAAATATGGATCTCATCTGAATTATACACTCATAATATTTAATAAAATATTTAAAATCTCTAATATTATCCTTTATACACTTGTCACTGTGGATATAATTTGTGATATTTTTTTCTCCCAAAAAAAAAAAAAAAAAGAAGAAGAAGAAGGTTGGTGGACCCATCTGAAATAAAATAAAAGATAGATTATAAACATCCACCGACAAAGTAACAATTGTCCCAAAAACTAAAAAAACTAAAAAAGAAAAAAAGAAAATGGTGGGTGGACCCATCTGAAATAAAATAAAAGATAGGTTATAAACATTTAAAATTAGTTTAATATACTAATTGCTTTTTATAATTTTAAAAATTATATTTTAACTTATGAAATATCTAACCTCGTAACAAATGATTATTTTCATTAATTAACTATTAAGTCAGTTAATATTTTTTTAATAATATCAGTAATATATTTTAATTAACAGTTCTATTAATTTTATTGAGATAAATTACATTTTACCTCATTTGTATTTAGTTATTTTCCTACTTTGATCTTTAAATTTTTTTTCCTATTCTAGCCCTTCATGTATTTTTTGAATTTACTTCTAAAACTAACTTTCGTTCAAAACTAATCAGAAAATGTTGTATTAGTTGCCCCATTACTTAAAACATATATCATTTATATTGATATTTAGGCTTGTATCAAATGTGTGAGTTACATATAATAATAATAAAAAAAAAGTTAGTGATGGTTAATGTGTTATTTTTTTGACTAATTTTGAAAATAAATTAACTTTTGAAGTAAATTAGTAGAAAAAAAATTGAAAATACGAAATGCCAACGTAAGGAAAAAAAAACTTTAAAGTCAAAGTGGCCAAAATAAAAAAAATGGTCAAACATAAAAATAATAAAGTGTAATTTATACATTTTATTATTGTATAAAAAAGTAGTTAAAAATTTTATTTTTTTGTTAATTATATTAAATGACAAATTATGACAATAAGATATTTATAACTTTTGGAAAGGTAACATGCATTTTTGGAAAGGTAACATGCATTTTAAGAACGGGTGGAAGTGATAGCATAATAAAACTTAGGAATGCAACTTGGGCGGGTTCAATCGGGTTGGGAGGTTGTCCAAGCCCAGCCCAAGTTGTGCTGAGATCTGTCCAGACCCGTCCAAGCCCGAATTGTAACTCGAGATTGCCTGCCCAAGCCCGACCTGAGTTAAACCCGAATTGCCCGAATTGTAAATAAATTTCAATTTTTATTTATTATTATTATTATTGTTATTTTTCAGCTACATTATTAAATTATTAAAATTTGACTCTGTAGACACCCCATTTTTGACCGTCCTCAAGACTTGGACGTCACCGTTTGAACACTCGGTGATTATCCATGTTTGTGTTCGTTTGGAGTTCTTAATATATATTCAATATGATTTAATAATCTAAATTATTTTAATATCATGTAATGACTAATAATTTATATATATTTAATATTTTTATATATCTATATATGTATAATTCAGATTTTGGGTTGTTCGGGTTGTTTGATGTCTTTACCTAAGCCTGTCTAAATTTAATTCGAACTTCTGAATTTTTGATAAAACCCATACCGAATTTGAAAATATCTTATCTAAATTTTAAAAAAATTCAAGTTGGGTTCGGGTTGCTCGGGTTGAGCTCGCCCAAGTTAGACCCTAATTTTAAGTCAAACTTAGGATTGTATTTGTAATTTAAGAATTATTTAGAATGATCTAAATAAATATATTTTTTAATTTTTTTATAAAAAATATAAAAATATATAATTTAAATAAACGCACTTATTTAATTCGAAACAAAATGGTGCTTAACCTAAAATAAAATAAAAAGTAGGTGGATGGAATATTTGGCGACGTAGAAGAATCCACGAGAGAGGTGTTGTAAGAACTCAGAGGCGATCCTAACCTGAGTTGCTGCCTGATTCAGACTTGACACAGCCATTTTCTCACGCGACAGGACCCGGTACTCTCTCTCTCTCTCTCTCTCTCTCTCTCTCTCTCTCTCATGTACAATGCTTTTATATGATTTAATTTTGGATCAATGTTTTATATTGATTGTGGGTTGTCCTCCAAGAAAGAACAAATAATATTTCTGAAGCAATTCGAATTTTTGAAAGAAAACTATTTGGTTGATCACTAATCTTTCTTGGCTAAATCATCTTTATTTGTTTCTTTCTTGGTTTTGATTTTTAAAAATGAGTTCTTGGATTCATGGTTCACTGCAAAATTTCCCTAATCTGATGCCTTGAACTTTCTGGAATCTATATTCCACGTTTGGTTGTGAGATAGGATAAGAGTGGAATAGTACTATCTTGGATGAAGAGGAAGGATTATGTATCCGATGTTTGGGGTGGTTTTATTGTATGGTTGATAATTTTGTACGTAATTTTTTGGGCAATTAAAAATAAAAATTAAAATTAAAAAGGAGAAAAAATAAGAAAAAGTTGACTCTTATAATAAAATAAATCTTGAGTTTTTAATTTTGTCAATTTAAACCCTTAATATTTTGATTTGTTTTCAATCTAAATTATTTGCCTATTTTTGGTAAGTTAAATCGATTAAAAATATTATATTTTAATCATTAAACTTATTTAAAAAATAGTATTTTAGACATTTTATGTACAAGTACATAGTGTTTAATAGGATGGCTCTAAATGCACCCCAAACATTAGGTTGGGCATGCCATTACTTTGAACACCCCAACCCTAATTTTGAATTTAGGGGGCTGTTTGGCTCAATCTACAAAGCACATATTTTTATATTTTTATCGTATTTGGTTTACATCACTTTTCTATCATATTGCACATCTTTTCATAAAAAAATTGAAAATATATATATTTTAATCATCCCAAACAACCCCTTAATTTTTTTTTGTTGGACATCGCAAAACACCCAATTAATCTCACCTTTACCCCTTTCACTAAGGGGTGTTCAACGGATATTTTGATCCGCCCAAATTGGCCGAACCGAACCGAACCGAATCGATATGTTGCATTTTGGACGGATGCATGATGACGGACGGACAGTTGCGGATCGGAGGTTCCCCAACCGCAACCAAATCGCAAATACCCCTACTTTCACTCACCTGTTGCCGAGATTCCCATCGTCACTGGAGCCTCATCTCCCACTGCTTTTACTTCCACACATCGATCACCACTTCTCAACCGTGCACTAACCCTTTCCTTTTCTTTGCCGCCATCTGCTGGCTCCCTTTCTTATTTTTCTTCCTCTTCTCCTCCGGAACCCCTAGATTTCAGATCTAGGGTTTTGAGAGGAGGAGAAGAACGAGAAGAAGAAGAAAAAGGGGTTGTGAGGGCAATTCACAATGGGAGGAGGTCACGAAGAAGGAAATCATGGTGGTAGAGAAGAAGAAAGAGGACGAGGCGTCGCGACGGCCGACGGCGACGGCGACGGCGACGGGTAGGGTAGGGTTCAAAGAAGAAGAAGAATATGATGGTGATGAAGAAAAAGGAGTTGTAGAGGATGGTTGGGGGTACCAGTAATGGCAATGGCGAAGTTGTAGAGGAGAGTGAGGGGGTTGTCGGTGATGGCAGCGGCGACGACGACAATGGAGGGAAGGTCTGGTCGTGACGCTGGACAATAACGACAGGAAGGCGTGACAAGTGAGGTCGAGAAGGGGTGGCTGGAGCTAGGAAGGAGATGGTCGAAGTTGGGTTACTGGCTGGAGCAGTGTGGTTGGTTGGGATTAGGGTTTTGTCCATTTTGGTCATTAGTTTAGGGGACAAAATTTTATTAATAAAAATTGGAAAAATGGGGTGCTCAACCAAAACATTGGGGTGCATTTAGAGCCACCCAATTTAATGGCTAAAATTTTCTTTTTTCATTGGTTTTACTTGACAGAAATAAACAAATGATTTAGATTGAAAATAAATTAAAATTTTAGTATTAATATTGACAAAATTAAAAAGTCAAGGTGTATTTTGTTATAAAGATCAAACCCTCAGGGTTGGTTTTTTTTTTGTAATTCCCCTAAATTTTTTGGATAAATTATGCCTATGGTCCATGTGTTCTGTCTTTGTGTTAATTTAGCCCTCGTGTTTTTCAATTTTGTCGTTTAATTCTTCATGTTATATTGATTTAGTCCAATTGATACCATTCACCAAGAAATTGCATAGAAATCAAGGGCAAAATGATCTATTCAAAAAGGAATAAGCCATTTTAAATTGGACGACAACCCCTCAATTACTTTGAGTTGAGTGAATTGGCTATTTTGCCCCTTGATTTCAGTCTAATTTCTAAAGTGGCACTATTAATTGGACTAAATTAACACAATTTGAAAATTTTATGGGTAAAATTGATATAATGCGAATTACAAGAACCATATTGACATAAGAAATAAATTATAAGGATTACGAGTGCTATTTATCCTAATAGGTAGTAGCAACATTAAAAAAGAGCTTTGATAATTGATTTGTTCTTGATATGTTCAAAGAAAACTAGTGATGGTATTTTGTGGCAAGATGGGATGAAGGCCTAACAAGACAATGTAATAACAGTAAACTCCGTAAATGAAAAAAAAAAATGCAACATTTTATGCTTGCAATTTAAATTGGGATTCATATTGCTGGCACAAATTACTGTGATAAAGAGACCTACTTGTTGAGATGTGTGTCCCTAGCCGTGTCATGGTGTCCTTGATATGAGAATTAAATGAATCTGACACTTAAACACATACCTATACCTGATAACGGTCCATATCTGAGTCCATTTATGTACCGAAGGTTGAAGCATCTAATGACTCACCTTCATCTGAAAATGAGAGTAATTTCCCTAAAATTTTTATGGAGGTAGGTGGAAATTAAGCAATGGAACAGACAACAAAGAAAGTTACGAGTCCTACCAAGGGATTATTGCAAAGTGATGAGTTGTATCAGGTACCGACCCTCCCATCCTTCTCTTTTGTTCTGTTTTATGTTGTTTAAAAATCTTAAAACTCACATCACACTCCATTAATGTGGTAGTATATCCTAGAGACCAGCGTCTACCCTCGTGAACCAGAACTTCTCAAGGAGCTAAGGGAGGTGACTGCAAGCCACCCAAGGTAATGTTCTCTGATTTAAATTTTCTTCATGGAATTAATAGAAATGTTCATTTCAATATACACAGATAGCCCAGTGATAAAGCAGTTCATTTTGGGATGAACTATAAACGTAGACTTCCTATGTTCAACTCCTTCTGATGTTGTGCCTAGTCTTAATAGATACATATTGATTTGAAAGTGATTGTAGGTATTTGAGGTTTACTTTGCAATGATTGGTCTAATGTGACCTTAGAGTTTCTCGTCAAGAAATTATTTATTTATTTATTTCAACTTCCATTGTTCATCGTCGCTAAAGTCGAAAACCACCAATTAGAAAACAAAATTAGGTATCTGCTAAAATCTTTGAACAGATATTATTGAAGTTAGGTAATACAGGTGCCCCAACTTCTTGTTTGTTAACCAGTATCAAAGAGTTTAGTGTAACTTCTACTTACAATGGCAAAAATGACATAAAATAAAACAGCCATATACCCAAAAATGACTTAGAAAGTTGATTATTGGAAAGTAAGAAAGGAATGTTTGTAACTTCTATGTTTAGACAAGCTATACATCCAGAATGAAAAAGTGTGGTTGAGTTTTAACAAGTGTATAGTGGGGTCAATAGATAGAATGAACCTAGACTATACATTGATGTTTGTGGTAAAAATTCTGTGTATGTAGTATTGCTCATGTTTAGATTATCAACTTTTAGCTTGACAGAAGTTGCACCAAATCCGGTCTCGGTGCCACTTGAAATCCTTATTTTGCAGGTCCATGATGGGTACAGCTCCTGATGCAGGTCAGTTAATGGCCATGCTGTTGAAGCTAGTAAATGCCAAAAACACTATTGAAATTGGAGTTTTCACCGGATACTCCCTTCTCCTCACTGCTCTTTCCATTCCTGATGATGGCAAGGTCTGTGATTATACGTATATACCATTGATCTTCCTAATATATTAATCTCTTGATCAAGCATTTATGGACAAAACTAGATTATTTTTGCAGATCATAGCAATAGATTTGAATCAGGAGACATATGAGATAGGGTTGCCAGTTATTAGAAAAGCTGGGGTTGAACACAAAATCAACTTCATTGTGTCCGAGGCTCTACCTGTCCTTGATAAACTGTTGGAAAACGTAAGTATTTACTATCTTTTTTGTTCTTTGTTTTTTTGTTTGTCTTTCTTTGGTGACAAGCAAATGTAACTTTGCATTGTATAAATAAGCAAACCAAACATACTGTGGGTGTATTCTGAATTCAATCCAGATAATGCTCACTACCCATTGGCGACCCACATGACCAGATTAATGAGCAAATAGGCTTGACCTGATATTTGTACTTAGGTCTATTTTGCCTCATATTGTAACTTTTAGATCCCTGTACATGTAAAGTTATTGAGTTCTAGAGTTGAGAAGATCTTGTGAGTTTTTCTGAAAGGCTTGTTGAGAGAGAGCCCACTTGTTGTCTCTCTACATTGATAATGAAACTCGTTGTTCTGCGCCCTTGAACATAGGCTTATAGCCAAGCCAAACCAAGTAAATCCTTATGTTTGTTCTGTTTTAACAAAACCTAGTATATCAACAGGAATGCACAAATTTGCCAAAAAAATCGTAAAAGAATATATCTGTATATATTAAAAAAAGAATAAGAAGAAGAAGAGAGCAGTCCTCATTAAGCCAAAAAAATAGTTGCATGAGCACTGATCCGTTGAAGTCAATAATGGAATTTTCTCTTCCTTTGAAAGATCTACACTTCCTCCCTCTGAAAATATACACAATGGAGCAACTTGTCAAGCCTTTCTACTCACTTTGCTCGAACAACCCCTATGCCATGGCAAACACTCAGAGTTCATTTACCGGCCATAGTATCACCCATGTGACACCAAAAACAATGAAAATCAGGCTTCAAATCTCTAAAGCCACCTTGTAATGAACCAATTTATTTCATATCATTACATTTTCCTCTAGTTTAATGTTCTCTTTCTTGTTTGTGGATATTGTTTTCTGTTGCAGAACGAAAATGAAGGGAGTTTTGACTTTGCTTTTGTCGATGCTGACAAGGTTAATTACCTTAACTATCACGAGCGATTGATGAAACTGGTGAAAGTTGGTGGAATAGTTGTCTATGATAACACACTCTGGGGAGGGTCGGTTGCAATGCCTGAGGAATCGGTTCCGGAGGGCATGAAGCACGGTAGGCATTTCACAATTGAACTGAACAAATCACTAGCATCTGATCCCCGCATTTTAATGTCTCATGCTCCGTTAGGCGATGGAATCACTATCTGTAAGCGCATCCAATGACTTGTACTCATGTAATGGCAAGAGCTATGAAGACTAATTTGTAGTTAATTCAAGTGAAATCTTTATATAATTTGTGTTGCAAATTCAAGTGAGAAGCTATCGTGACTCCTGATCATATGTGAATGATGAATGTAATCAAATTCAAATAAGCACATATTATTGGTACAATCCATTTGCAACCACCTCAAAAACTTGTGGAGGTTTCCAATAAGCACAAGAAGTAAATTTCAGAGTTGCTAATACAATTTGAAATGGGCTTGTCAAGATTTATTATGCAAGTGAACTTGACTACATTAGACACGATTTTGCCATGCCCGTCTGGGCTCTTTTTGTCTGGCTCTTCGTGCCTGGCTCCTCAGCAAATAGAGGGAGCTTAGAGGATTGCTACAGTTGGTTATCCCCGGCAACCCATTTTATTGAACGAAGGAAAAAAAAATACAATTTCACATGAACTTGTGAACTAAAGCCACTTATTTCAAACACATTTGTTACGGATACAATAAACATGTTTTACTTGTACTATTTCGAACAAACTTGTGTGACAAATTTCTTTGATGTTTCTGCAACCACGAGGGGAAAAGCAATAATTGCATCACAGTGTACCTGTTTGGAACCAATGAAAAGGAGGAAATAAATTAGAATCATACTGCTATGATCAAGCAATGCAATTGGAAAACAGAAAAATTTCACTAATGACAATCACTTCAAGGTAGGAAGTGAAGGTGAAAGGCAAAAGAAGTTAAACCTTGACAGTCTTTGCCGAACTTCGTATTTTTCCCCACAATATGGCTTTGTCAGGGTGGGCACCAGAATCGCTACCATCAAACTCTTGAGCGGTGTTAATGTAAGCAGCATAATCTGCCCCGTTTCGCATCATATCAGCATTGCAAATGTGATGCTTACGCAGCCCCCCTCCAAGAATTATTTGTTGGAAAAAATGAATTTTTGGTAACTTTGATTAAATATTAAAGTGGGTCGCAACCATCTATTGTATTGGATCAAAGTGGGTCTAGATACTTTACAATGAGATCTTTACACCACAAAAAGAAGGGCAAAAAACTATTGAGAATTGAATGAGAAATTGTCTCATGAAGTTAGCTTTATGAAAGAGGTAGTGGGATTAGTGTGTATAATATGTTTATAACACATGCAATATTGCAGAGATTAATGATGCATTAGTGACCAACCATAAAGGCTGGAGGCTCCTCCTATCTCATACATGTATAAATTGAGACCCTCCTGTCTAATCTCAACATAGAAATTTTTGCTTTTATTTTACAAGTCAGTTTGCTCGAAAGTTCCTACAGTGAGAGAGTGCTGCCACGTGTTTTGTTCGCTAAGTTAGACAGAGAGTGCTTCTTCCATAGCTAGTTTTTGACCGTCGTAACCTGGGAGACAGACGCTGGAATTCCTTAAGCACTCGACCCGTGAAGCGACGAAAATCTGTTTTAAGGAAATTGCTACCGTGCAGGCTTCGGTTTGCTTTCTTTACCATTTTAGTGTATTGTGTATTTCTGTTGTAATTTAGTTGTAATTCTCATTATGTGTTCTTGGTATATAATTTTGATTTATTCGTGAATCTATTTATTTAATTTCACAATTTGGAAAATAAGTTTAAAACATATTTTTTTTTATTTTCCCATGAAAGTGGCCAAATAGATTCATATGATAGATGTACACAGTTTAATCATAATTAATATTTATGCTTGTTGCTGTGTTATTGTCAGTGCGTTTCAATTTCTTTCAATTCATATATTTGGTGTGCCAAACATAGTCTTGATTGTATATGCTGCCATGTTATTCTTGCTTGAAAGTCAGATTTAGTCTACTACATAAGTTGGTGTATCCATGATTTGTATTGAAAACAAATAGAAAATATTTTATGTACCTACTTTGCATATTTTCAGTATATAATTTTTGGAAAATAAGCCACTGTTTTCATGATTAGTTTTGTTTTGGTCTATTTTTTATAAACTACATGTTTCTCTATGTTAGACTAAACCTTGGCCACAATTTTCGTTTGGTGTCTGTGTATTGGAAGATGTACAGGGTTTGTCCATTGTTTGCATTTGTATTCATTTTCCTTCACACATTTTTCCGAGACATGCCTACAAAATGGCCAAAAAAAGAAGAAGAGGAATTACATGTTGCTAGTTACTGTTGCATATATGATCCCCTGATTTTAAACTCATGTGTAATTTAATAAATTCATATATGAGATGGTGGGTTTTTTGAATTCATAATTGTACTGGAATGGCTGAATTTAAGCAAAATGATTTTTCTCTCTTTCATAATTTGTATGCTTATTTAGTTTCTAGAATAAACATCATGTTCAATATGAATACATACTAGATTAATTCACATGTTTTATTTTATAGATTTAAATCAATTTTACATTCTTCTTATTCAAGAATTATTTACATGTTAATTACTATAGACTTATTTACAATGTAATTTCTCTAGAATTAAATATATGTTAATTGTTTACATGTTTATTATGTAATAATTGATATGTAACTCATGGCTAGAATTTTAATTATTTAGGTATTAACTTTTTATTTAATTCTTAAAGTTATAGTTTTATTTTGTAACTCTTGCCAATTAAAAGTGTTGATTGTATATTTATTTACATGAATATTATGTAGTTTAATTGGGTGAATTAAATTTTGAATTTAATTTATTTAATTGGAGTTACAAATTTTATTTTAAAGTTGTAATTTAATTGTGGAGTTAAAAATTTTAATTCAAAGTTGTAATTTAATTTTGAAGTTACAAATATTATTTTAAAGTTTTAATTTAATTGTGAAGTTACAAATTGTATTTTGTTTTGGTAACTTATCTAGCATTTTAATTCTTTGCTTAATTTTACTATTCAATAGTTGGCTAGATGGTTTCAATTAATTTATATATATTTTTGCTTAGATTGTTTGTTTGTATTTTGTTGTGGTTTTCTACTAACATTTTTTTACAGAAATACCTATGCGAAAGGGAATGAAAAAAAAAAAACCAAAACCAAATAAATAGATTTGGGTTGCACAAGCGAAATTTATGAATTATATAATTTAAGCATTTTTTGCTTGAGGTTTAATAGTGGTTGCTCGCCAATTTTTTAAAGCAAGGTTGTTTGTTTGGCATATTAAAGCATTTTATATACTTGTATTGTTGTAGCAATTTTTATATTGCTTGTAATTGTTAGCAATTTTATTTTAATTGTTTGTAAGTTTGGAACTGATTTTTTTTAACCTAGTTCATCCTTTGGAAAATTTAATTTTTAAAATTGTTTAATCACAGATTAGGAGTCAACATGCTCTTGAAAGTTTTGTCAAAAGGTTAACTGGGTTTTAAATGGGACTGATGTGACCCCTCTAGTCTTCCTATAAACATTCTTGACCATGTTCGATTCTAGGTTAAGTGGTGAGACTAGTTTTGAATTAAATTTCCAACTGTAGGATTTTCTAAGGTTAAGTTTAATTTCTGGAAACACAGAAAGTGATATTCTGTTGTATTTTTCAGAAATGGCAACTGTCACCAATGATGGTGCTATTGCTAATGTTGGTGGGGACCTGAACCCCGGGGCAACTAGCGTGCCAACCCCTATTGTTGTGATCTCTGTGGCCAACTCTGGTGTCACTCTGGCTATTCTGGGAGGACTGCTCAATCACCATGAGCGCCCAGAGAAATTTTCTAGGGTGAACTTCAAGAGATGGCAGCAAAAGATGCTATTCTACTTGACCACGCTGAACCTTGTAAAGGTTTTGAGCGAGGATCCTCTAGCCGTGGTAGAAAATGAGCCAGACAGGCAGAAAATCATGGCACTTGACACATGGAAGCAAATAGACTATCTTTGCCAGAACTATGTGTTCAACACCTTGGTAGACTCACTTTATAGTGTGTTTTGTTCCAAGAGCTCAGCAAAATAATTATGGAAATCTCTGGACAAAAAGTACAGGACTGAGGATGCCGGGGCAAAGAAATTTGTGGTTGGCCGGTTCCTTGATTTTAAAATGGTAGATTCTAAAACTGTGATAAGCCAAGTCTAGGAGTTCCAAGTGATCTTGCATGATATTCATGCTGAGGGGATGCCTTTGAACGAGTCATTCCAAGTTGCTGTGATCATTGAGAAACTTCCCAATGGTTGGAAGGACTTCAAGAACTACTTGAAGCACAAGCTTAAGGAAATGTCAGTTAAAGAACTTGTTGTCCGACCCCAAATTGAGAAGGATAATAGAAAGAAAGGAGAAAGTACCTCCTCAGTGAAGGTCAATGTCATTGAGCACGGAAAATCTTTTGGGATGAAGAAAAAGCCCCCTGTGAACAAGGGCTCAAAGCTGGGGCCAAGGGGTGGTGTTACAAAGAAACGGGCATACAAGCCGCAGGAACTTGGTTATCAGTTCTTTGGGAAGTGCTACAACTGTGGTAGCGAAGGGTATCAGGCTAGTGACTACCGCAAGCAAAAGAAGCCATATAAGACCAAACCTCGTGCTCACATAACAGATATGCAAGATCACTCCCATGATGAGGATGACATGCACTTGTCTACCATTATCTCTGAGGTGAATTTTGTGGGTTCAAACCCAAGAGAATGGTGGATTGATACTGGGCTACACGCCACGTCTGCTCCGAGCAAACGCTGTTTACAACTTTCGAACCGGTTACAAACCGGTGAGAAGTTGTTTATGTGAAACTCTACTACCTCATTTGTTGAGGGAAAGGTGGTCCTGAAGTTAACCTCAGGAAACGAGCTAACCTTGAACGAAATCATGTATGTTCCGGACATTCGTAAGAATCTTGTCTCAGGGTCTCTTCTCAGCAAACATGGTTTTCGTATAGTTTTCGAGTCCGACAAGGTCGTTCTAACCAAAAATGGAGTGTATGTAGGTAAGGGATATATGTTGGGGGGTATGTTTAAACTCAATGTGATGACTCTTATCCCAAAGATGAATAAAGATGTATCTTCTTCTGCTTACATGCTTGAGTCTTCCAATTTGTGACATGGTAGACTAGGACATGTGAACTTTGAATCTTTACATAGATTAATCAAACTAGATTACATATCATCTTTTAAGATTAATCCGAAACACAAGTGTGAAATTTGTGCTGAAGCGAAGTTGACAAGATCTTCGTTTCATTCTATTGAAAGAAGTTCAGAGTCGTTGGACTTAGTGCATAGTGATGTGTGTAACTTAAAGTTTATACAATCATGTGGTGGCAATAAATACTTCATCACTTTTGTTGATGATTGCATTAAGTATTGTTATATGTATTTGCTCAAAAGCAAATATGAGGCTGTTGACAAGTTTGTTCTGTATAAGAATGAAGTTGAGAATCAATTAGACCGCAAGATTAAGGCTTTAAGAGGTGATCGTGGTGGTGAGTATGAATCACTATTTATTGAGATTTGTGCTCGATCCAGGATTATCTACCAAACCACGGCTCCTTATTATTCTCATTTAAATGGGATTGCTGAGCGGAAGAATAAGACGCTAAAGGAGATGATGAATACAATGTTGCTAAGTTCTAGATTGCCACAGAACTTGTGCGGGGAAGCAATTCTCTCTGTAAATTACATTCTAAATAGAATCCTTTGGAAGAAAATAGACAAGACTCTATATGAAATATGGAAAGGCTACAAGCCTTCTTATAATTTCCTACGAATGTAGGGGTGTCTTACAAAAGTGGCATTACCTACGCCTAAGCGGGTTAGGATAGGTCCGAAAATCGTAGATTGTATATTCATTGGTAATGCACAAAATAATAATGCATATAGCTTTTTTGTGCACAAGTCTGATATTTCAGATATTTTAGATGTCCATAAGAACACCATAATAGAGTCAATGAATGCATCTTTATTTGAAAACATATTTCCTTGCCGAACCCAAGTAGACGATCAAAGTTCTGAGAAGGAACTTGAAGATGATCAAGTAGATGATCAAGATGAGGAAGTAGATGAAC